AAAAAAAAAAAAAAGAAACTTACAGCTATAAATGCCCACATTTAAAAAAGAAAAGATCTCAAACAATAACCTAAAAACGTATGCCTTAAGAAACTAGAAAAAAGGGAGAATACTACGCCCAAAGCTAGCAGAAGGGAAGTAATAATAAAGTTTAGAACAGATATAAACAAAATAAAGGATAGAAATACAATAGAGAAAAATCAATTAAACCAAAAGTTGGTTCTTTGACAATGTCAACAAATTGACAATTGGACTGACAAAAAGACAGAAGATGCAAGTAATTAAAATCAGAAATAAAACACTACTACTGACCTTAAAGAGATAAAAAAAAAGATTATAAGTAAATACTATGAGTTGTATACCAACAAATTAGATAACCTAGAAGAAAGGAACAAATTCCTTGAAAATTACAAATGACCTAAACTTATTCAAGAAAAGAAAAATCTGAGAAGACCTATAACAAGAGTTTGAATTAGTAATTAAAAATTTCAACAAAGAAAAGTCAGGGACTTTGAGATGGTTTCACTGGTGAATTCTATCAAACATTTAAAGAATTAACGCAATCCTCAAACTCTTCAAAAAAGTTTGAAGAGGAAGAAATATGTCTTAACTCATTCTATGAGGTCAGTATTACTTTGATACCAAAGGCAGATAAAGACATCACAGGAGAACAAAAATACAGACCAGTATCCATCATTAGTATATATGCAAAGATGGGACGCCTGGGTAGCTCAACCAGTTAAGTGTCTGACTCTTGGTTTCAGCTCAGGTCATGATCTCATGGTTTGTGAGTTTGAGCCCTGCATTGGGCTCCTCTCTGACAGTGCAGAGCCTGCTTGGGATTCTCTCTTTCCCTCTCTGCCCCTCCCCTTATTGTGTGTTCTCTCTCAAAATAAATAAATAAACTGTATATATGTAGATGCAACGATCCTCAACAAAGTATAAGCAAACTGAATCCAACACCATAGTAAAAGAATCATTCACCATGACCCATGACCAAGTGTGATTTATCCTAGGAATGAAAGGATTGTTCAACATAAGAAAATCAATTAATATAATATATCACATTAACATAACAAAAGAAAAGACCATGAACATCTCAATGCAGAAAAGGCATTGGACAAAATACAATACCCTTTCATGACAAAATCCCTCAGAAATCTAGGAATAGAGGAAAATTCCTCAACATAATAAAGGATACTCATTTAAAAAAATAGTTAACTTCATGCTCAATGGTGAATGGCTTAAAGCTTCCCCCTAAGATTAAGAACAAGATAAAGATACTTTAACTGCTGCTGTTCAACATTGTACTGGAAGTTATACCCAGAACTATTAGAAAAAGAAATAAAAGCTATCTAAATTAGAAAAAAAAAAAAGAAGGGAAAAGAGTGGAGAGGGAAACAAACCACAAGAGACTCTTAATGATAGAGAACAAACTATGGGTTGAAGGAGGTGGGTGGGAGATGAGATAGATGGGTGATGGGTACTAAAGAGGGCACTTGCTGTGATGAGCACTGGGTGTTGTATGTAAGTGATGAATCACTGATTCTACTCCTGAAACCAATATTGTGCTGTATGTTAACTAAAATTTAAATTTTTAAAAAAATGAGAAAAAAACAATAAATTAGGAAGAGGTAAAATGTTCTCTGCAGATGACAAAATCCTACTGGTAAAAAAAAATCCCAGAGGATCCAAAAGAAAGCTACTATGGCTAATAAAGGAATTCAATGAAGTTTCAGGCTGTAAGATCAAGAAATAAAATTTTGTTTCTATACACCAAAGAACAAACTAAAAAGTAAACTAAGAAAGCAATTCCCTTTACAATAGTCCCTAAAATAAATACCTAGGAATAAATATAACCAAAAGGTGAAATATTTGTGTGCTGAAAACTACAAAAACATTACTGAAAGAAAAGAAGAACTAAATAAATTAAAAAACATCTTGTGTTCATAGATAAGTCTTAACGTTAAGATTCCAGTACTACCCAAAGTAATCTGAAGATTTGATGGAATCCCTATCAAAATTCCAAAATTCCAGTCCCTATCCCTTTTCACAGACATGGTAAAACCAATCCTCAAATTCATTTGGAATTCCAAGTGTATAATTTCATATGCTTTAATCATCTTTAAGTGTTTATATTTCCTTCCAAAAGAGTTCTTATTTGTTGCAAAACACTACCTATCTGTTTAATATTGCTGGCTATCAAAATGTAGTAAATATGTTGAAAATAGTTTGTCATTTTGTGTTTATCCATTTCATCCTATCAGGCTACTACCAACATATTGGGCATCAGGTTTACTTTTTTTGACCAGTTACATTTCTAATTCTACATTTTGAACATTACTTGAAGACTATTGCAGCCATAAAGATGCAAAAGCTTTTAAATATCAACTTAATACTTAAAAAATGGGGAAAATAAAAAATAGTGGATCATTGACAAAGCTATCAAACTAATGTCCTGCATATGTAGATACTATTAATGGCACCATCTTTGTGTAACAAGGACAGCAGCTTCTGCATATCTAGCAACAAGTAGTATGTGTGCATACATTATGCCATATTTTTTTAATCTCTGAAAACATTATATAACATCTTACTCGTTACTGTTAACTTCACTGCATCCAGCATGTTCTTACAGGAAGCCAATTCCTGTCAAAGTAGAGGAAATTTTCAGTTTATAGTTTAGTAACAAATTCTCTTTTTATATAAAAAATTTTTAAGTTTATTTATTTTGAGAGACAGAACTAGCAGAGGAGCAATGGAGAGAGAGGGAGACAGAATCCCAAGTAGGCTCCTCACTGTCAGAATGGAACCTGATATGGGGCTCAAACTCACAAACCTGTGAGATCATGACTTGAATTGAAACCAAGAGTTGGATGCCTAACTGACTGAGCCACCCAGGCGCCCCAACAAATTCCTAAGATGATAATCATGATGGAGCACCTGAGTGGCTCAGTTGGTTAAGCATCCAACTCTTGATTTCAGCTCAGGTCATGATCTCATGGTCGTGAGACTGAGCCCAGCATCGAGCTTTGTGCTGGGTGTGGAGCCTGCCTGCTTAAGATTCTCTCTCTCCCTCTCCTGCCCTTCTCCATCCGTGTTTTCTCTCTCTCTCTCAAAAAAAAAAAAGATGGTAATCATGAAGTTTTTATAAGTATTTATTTTTTATTTAGCATTTATTAACATAGGATGCCCCATGTAGTATTAATAAGTGAGTCAGAATTAGCTGCAGTCATCTAGAAACAAAATCTAAAACGGCACATGCAATAAAAGCACATATATGGAGAGATCAATTAAGTTGATACCTCACTTGTATAAATTTTGGTTGTCCAGGTAACTAGTCTTGAATACAACCAGAAATGTGGAAGTGGAAATTCCAAAAGGAATATTCAAGGTAGATGTCATAAAGTCTATATACAATAAAGCTAGTAGACTTTACAGAAAAGTCTGTCATGTTTGCCTGTGAGGTGTTATACTCAGTTTAACTTTAGACTTTGTCAATGTAGCTTTTCACTATATCATTTTTTTACACATTCACATTAATTCATAGTTTGGATTATATGCTTGAAAAGGCATTCCCCATGTTCAGATTATTAGATAACAACATAAAGCTCAAAGCTAATTAATCATTACATTTCTGTCTATGATGCATAGTAAGTAATTTTGCTTTTCTATTATTTTTCAACAGTGAATACTCATTAAAATTATTCCCAAGAAAATTCTAGTGTATATTCAGGTATATGAGGCAAATTTAAAAGCAAATGTGGTCAGGGACTCCACAGATACAGGTTGAAGTGGGAGAGTCCAGTGATCTGTTTCTTCCTTAGTGATGTTTGGAAAGATAAAGAACATAAGTTTTCTGGATAGAGAGATTCACTCCCATTGAATAATAAATTTATTAATTGCCAACTGGGTGCCAGATACTAAGCTACAATAAACTTAATTTTTTTTTTTCTGCCTGGAAAAATGTGCTTCCAGTACATAGTACTGTGCATAGTACCAGTATTGTGCATAGTACTTTGATCAATGATCTAATCATGTGATTAATGCCAGTTAGAGAAATGATATGGGAGAGTAGAATAGAATCGAAGACATGGAAGGATAACCACGTTCTTACAGATCTGTAATAGTACCTAACATCATTTCAACAGATGTATTTCACTAGAAAACATTTTTGCCATTAAGACATTCTTTTAAAAAAGGGAACAGAAACTTGGCCTGATTTAAGGATATATCATATATAGATATAGATATAGGTATATACCTTTTCATTGTAAAAAGTTTCCCTTATCTGTAACCTGTGCCTTATTCCAGTCTCATATTTACTCCATTGAAAATCTAGGCTGCCACATTTATATGGAATTGTTTAGGTTGTGCATCACATAACTGATTCTTTTGAGTGCCACAGAACTTAACAGTAACTATAGCTATTAGTGTTTCCCCTTTACTATACCGGGATGATTTCCATAAAAACCATTAAAATGGACTTTTAAATAAGAAATTTTTATCCCAGCTCCATGGACTCCTAGAAGTTGTCTGTGGATGGCTGCAGATGTGTGTCAGGGGTCAAAAAACTGTCTGAGTTGTATGGAATATTTTTTCTGAATTAATATTGTTTTGTATGGAAAATTTGTTCTGGATGAATATTGTTTTCTGCACAATCATGAGCTTCTACAAGTAGGTGTGGTCTTAAAAGCAACAAGACTCCCTACCCTAAAATCTTACCCACTAATACCTGAAATTCTGTGACTAATAGATCATTCATTTAAGTGAAGCATTTTTCTCTAAGATCTTTTTTAAAAGTTAAAATTTCCCCAAGAGAGACAACATATTAGGTCCCTGAAATGTCCATGAATTCATTCCCCCCACTTTGAGTCCCCTACTATAAGTCAAGAAATTTATGTGTAATTATATTATTACAACAATCTTTAATATAGATAGTACTACAATATTGATTATAGATGTAAAAATTGAAGCCTAGAGAGGTTAAGTAATTTCCAGAAGGTTGTGTACATGGGTCATAATTAGCAAAACTAGGAATCAAACCCAACCTATGCCTTCCTTACCCTCAGCCCTGAACTAATGCCATGTAACTCCACAGAATAAGAAGAAAGATGCTTACTTTAATTAGGTGCAGGATTTCTGGGCAATCATGAGCCTCTGCAGGTCTTACTCGGAAAGAATTCATTCTTGGTTGCCTCATGCCTGATTGGCTCCTTCCTGGTTGGCTTATGCCTGGTTGGCTTGGGCCTGGTTTGTTCATGCCTGCTTTGCTTGTTCCTGATTGACTCCAGCCTGGTTGCCTCATTCCTGGTTGATTCATTCTGAATTGGCTCAGGCCTGGTTGCCTCATGCCTGTTTGACTTGGGCCTGATTGCCTCAGGCTTAGTTGACTTGTGCTGAATTGGCTTGAGCATGGTAGCTTCATGCCTGGTTGGCTTGGGCCTGGTTGACTTATGCTGAATTGGCTCAGATCTGTTTGCCTCATACCTGATTGACTTGTGCCTGACTGGCTTGGGCCTGGTTTTCTCAGGCCTAGGTGGCATGTGCCTCCTTGCCTCACCCCTGGTTGGCTCATACCTGGTTGTTTCATGCTCAGTTGGTTCATGTCAAGTAAACTTGTGTTCGGTTGGCTTATGTCCAGTTGGTACATACCAAATAAGCTCATTCCTGACTGGCTCATGCCTGGTTGATTCATGTCTGGTAAGCTTGATTGGTTCGTGCCTGATTGGTTCATGCCTAGTTGACTGAGGACTGGCTGGCAGATGATTGGTTGGCAGATGACTGGCCAATGACTAAGTGTCTTGATGGAACAGAAGTTCTTGACTACAGTGCTGTGGTGGAAGGCAGTAGGAGGTTTCTGTTTTTTCTTAATTTGATTGGTACTTTTAGATACCCCTCTATCAAGATGAGAATGGGAAAAATAATGGAGGACTACCCAAAAAAGATTATTGATGCCTCTGCCTCCGATTTGCTGGAGTTGACCTCACCAGCGACCACAGCTGTAGGCTTGGCTGGGTTTCAGGTTGTCATCTGGCCCTTCTCTGCCAACAGGCCGTAAGTGAGGGGAAGAAGAAAATGACCCTCGGGGAGTATTTCTGCTTTACCCCCTTGCACAGTCACTGCGTCATAGTAATGAAGTCACAATGCTCATATTTATGAGCTTAAGTGCTCCCCCGTGTGGTGAGGGAGTGGTGAGACAAGGCCTGCTTGACAACCATTTTATTTCCCCCTTTCGAGGAGCTTAACAGGGTGGATGAGCAAGAACTGGGAAGGTATCTGAGAGCTTATGCTTGGCATTCTCTCTAAAAGTGCCTGCTATTTTAACAACTCAATTCAAAGATAGTTCCTTTAATTCTTTCTGTTTTCTCCATGTCGGAGCCATGAAATAATTCACTTCCTATTTCTGTCCTGGCTTCCACTTACCACATCTCTCCCATAGGCATAGAAACTAGAATGCTTAAAAAAAGTTGTCCTAATGGGGTGCTGAAGTCTCTAATGCAGAAAATATTTCTTTACAAATAATTAAAAATGACTGTCATTAGGGGCACCTGGGTGGCTCAGTCGCGTAAGTGTCCAACTTTGGCTCAGGTCATGATCTCATGGCTCATGG